TTTTTTTTAGATTCTTCTGTATATTTATAGTTTAATAAAGAAATCGTCACTACAATTCCACCAGCAAACAAAAAAAATTTATTAATAATTTATTTTATTTTTATAGGTTACTAAGATAATAAAATAAGGAAATAGTGCCTATCAAGTTTATCTCTTAAAGATTACAAGAAAAATCATCTTAAAATTATATTATTTCAATAAATTTTTATTGAAAAATATTAAACAACCTTATTTTTAAAATATACATTAGGGTAATTTTTATTATTTTTCTTCTTAATTTTTAAGAGGTAAGGAATACAAATACTAATCTTATAAAATAAAATCACAAAAAATAGATTAAGATAAAACAAAATTACTTCTTATTTTATTCTAGAGCAAAACTAACCTGCAACAGTGTATGTTTACGTACACCGCCGCCAGATTTGGTTGAAAATGTCGGTGGCGCATTTTAACAAACATTTGGTAGGCACGAAAGAGAACAGGAACAGCCGAAGGTAGAGCTATGATAAGACTGTCCCGGAGACACCCAGACTTCATGAAACAGTGGAAATATCTCCGGATAATCTGTTGCACCAAAGGCATCATTAAAGTTGGAGTTGGTCGCCGGAATGTTAAGTGTTGGGAGTTATCCACTTCCCCTGGATTGAAGAGAGCGAGAGAAAAGCAGTGAAAAAAAGGGAAGCCGATCGCATAGGCTGGGCGCAACTAGGCCTGCCCGCGTTAAATTTGGCCCAGGACCTGTCTACAGTTTTGGGCTCGGGACCGGCTCAAGATAGTAGGCTGAAATTTATAAAGTTACGCTGAGTTCTACAGTCTGAGGAAACTAATGAATCAATAAAATTGTGAGTAGAGGGTAAATTTTTTAAGTGGAGACGAGGGTTTTAACTTAAATTTGTGATTAATAACATAACTAATTCTATTATTAGACTGCATGGCAGGTGGTGAGTAAAGGGTAAATTCATGGCTGACAGTGAGCCAATTAGCAAACAGAGGATTTGCAAAGGTGGAAAAGAGATATAATTAAGATGCATAAGTCATGTGTGTGCATATACATATAGCCCCATTCATAATCTAGTAGCAGTATCAAGTTATCTATATGAAAATAAAATCGAGTTTAAAATATCTCCCACACAATACAAACCAGAAATATTGAAGTCTTTTTGATAAGGCGAAGTCACAAGTGAATGCACCATACAACCTATGAGGAATTGAAATAACATTTTAGGCGCCAAGAAAAATTCAGCTTGACACCGTTGAAATCCCAGCTTAATTAGGAGTGCACCATACAACCTACAAGGAAGAAAGTATCATCAACATATATATATATTTAGCAGCTTGTATAAAGGATGTGTCTTTCTAAAGGGAAAGCTAATATGTCAGACAAGCAAAGTTGATGGCATCAGAGAATCCACTCACCTTCTGAAACATCATCCTAATCGAACAGCTTATGCAAAGCATCAGACCAGTCTTCTTCAGCGTCATCACCATTCTGCAATCATAATCAGCACATTTTGATTTAGAAGGCTAGTTAAAGCATATAACTACATATAATCTATTAATTAAGTTTACCACAACCTTTCCCCATATTTAATTTGATCGTGTCTTTTAACGAGCTAATTAAGGAGATGGAAAGAAAGATAGAACAAAAGAAATAGAGGATACCTTTTTTGTGAACAACTGTTGTATTGTGGGGTTAAGGCCACCTTCCTGCCAAATTCCTTCATCTGTTGAATTTTCCGTCAATTTCACTTTCTGCAATTTTGGTGTACTTACTTCTCCCTCAGAGAAAGTCAGCATATTTGGACACTCCATCACGGTTACATCTGCCAAAGATGGAAATTCAAAGTTGCAATTTCCTGAGCAGAAGCTTTCTAGTTTTGGAAGAACTTTAAGTTGCAAAGACTCAAGTTTGGTGAAAACAATGCCATCCTTCACATCATCACCA